CCCATGGAGGACCATCAGGGTGCAGAGACCGACCTGCAGCCCATGGAGGAACCCATGCTGGAGCAGGTGGATGCATGAAGGAGGCTGTGACTGCGGAGGAGGCCCAGGATGGAGCAGGGTCCTGCTGGAGACCTGCAGCCCTTGGAGAGAGAAGCCCACACTGGAGCAGGTTTTTCCTGGGTAAGACTTATAGCCCCTGTGGAGGACCCACACCAGTACAGCTTATTTGTGAAGGACTGAACCCCATGGAGGAGTGACCCACGGGACAGCAGCTTGAGAAGAACTGTTGCCTGTGGGATGGACTCACACCGGAGAGGTCTATCAAAGACTGTCTCCCGTGGGAGGGACCCCACGGGAGCAGGGAAAGACTCCTCTCCCTGAGCAGTGGCAGAAACAACAACTGACCGTAACCCCCATTCCCTGTCCCCCTGCACTGCTGGGGGGGAGGAGGGAGAACATGGAAGGAAGGAGGGGTGGGGGGGAGGTGTTTTTTAAGATTATTTTACCTCTCACTCTTTTGCTCTGACCCTGTTTAATTCAGTTAATACCCCCACTTTGAGTCTGTTTTGCCCGTGATGGTGATAAGTAAGTGACCTCTCCCAGCTCTTATCTCAACTCATGAATCCTTTGCCGTCTTTTTTTCTCTCCTCTGTCCAGTTGCAGAGGAGAGTGAGAGAGCAGGTGTAGTGAGTACCTGACATCCAGCCAGGGACAGCCCACTACAGTTGGCATTAACACAGGTGAGCTGTTCCTCACCACATAGATCAACTGCTGCCAAGTTGCACAAGTCCAGTGGCAGTGCTTGCGAGTTGTGCTGGCTACAAGAGGAAATAGCAAGTCTTTGAGCAAATTTGATCTGGAGGTTAGCCTGAGAGGAGAGCAGCATTTTGATTTTCTGAACAGTTGTAGGGTTCTGAGGTTCAGCTTTCATGGGAAGAATATCTGAACCATCATATTTCCAAGTGAATGAGACCTATTCACACTAACATCAGGCTCTCTGTTAGATAGATGTGTGACTCCCTCAGCAATGGTGCTTCAAGGTTCAGACTTGCCCAAAGCAGGAATAACTAAATGCAATCCCCCATCCTTTCTCTCTGAACTAGTAAAACTTACTTGATTATATAATTTGCTTGACCTAGAATTTTGGATTTGGGAAGTTCATCTGTAGTTTAGGAGATTTGTATTCTTTACCTTGACTGATTCAGACTGAATCTCACCTATTTGAATTGCTTGAGAACTCTGGACCCTAACAATTTCACTTTTTTTTTTTTAAATAACAGTGATCATCCAAATTCTTTTAGTATGTTTACCCCAGTGACTAACACCGAACAGAAATAAAACAAGCCATCCTCAAGGAGAGTGCTTACACGTGCATCAGTTCTGATAAGTCAAACCACATATTTATGCAAACGGTCATTCCTGAAATATACATAGGAAATTAAATTGTTCACCCAAGCTAATAATAATTGTGGAGAAACAGCAAGGGCCACCCTGGTCAACTATTGAATATGGAACTATGTGAAGTGGTCATTATGTGTCCTGAGATAAAGTTGATGGAGCTACCTAGAGCATAACTCTCAAAGAGAGCCAGCCTAACCACTCCATTCTGCAGTACTACTTCAGCTTCAGTTGTGATATTGTTCTCTAAAACCTAGTAGTAGTCTGTACCCAGGCAATTAAGCTTTCCTGAGAGCAAATGTATGTTCTCTTTTCCTGGTTCTGCTGCATGCTTCACTTGTTATAACCCATTTTAACAGGCCTTTCAGCTGCATTTAATCTTTTGAGAAGTCAGATTGATTTTTATTCTGGCTACTAGACAATTGCTCAAGATCATACATTATGGACAGTCCCTCACTGTCATCTAAGCCACTGCTGTAGTGGTGGCTGTTTTGTAATGTAAAAGCCCAGCTGTCTGCTGCTCTGTGATAAGTGCTAAAAATGGTACATTGCAATCCAAGCTGCTGTAGCATTATAGCCAAAAGAGGATTACAAATGGGATGGCTGCTGTAAGGAGAGGCTATATACAGTTGCACATATGGACTCCGGTCATTCTTATCATGGGAGTGGAGAACGGCATTTTCACTCTTAAGAAATATTTCTCTCCAGAGTGTACTACTGCTACCTTGCTGCCAATTATTGTTTCCTGGCAATGAACAGAGACCATATGCTTTTAAACCATGACATTTGATTAATGACTCTAATACAGAGTCACCTGAGGAAAGAGTGATGCCATTAACATAACCAAAAAGGAGTCAATAGCTGTAGCATTGTCTCTTCACAATATTTTGTGAGAAAGTGAGGGAAGGAAGTGAAATAAAATATAAAGGAATTAGAGCAGGAGAATAATGATCATAGCTCTCTTTACATAGCTCCCCAGAGGTGAGGCATTTGACAGCTTTTGTATGGACAAAAGCAACAGCCTCCATGCAACAGCCTCCATCTGGTTATATATCACTGAAGTAGACTGAATCGCTGCAATGAGAAGATGACATCCATGTGCAAACCTAGGGACATCTGAACAGAAACATCTGTAGCCTTGTAACTTGAACCTCAGTCAAGGCTGTAAATACAATTCTGCTTGTGGAAGACATTCAGAACATCATGATAGTCTTTAAGGGCTTGGGGCTGATGTACAGTCCTGCTACTAGCTCATGACCTGATCTTTCTGATAGTTTTAACAACTCAGCTTTAATAACCCAACAAGTTGCAGAAGTAAATAGCAGTGAGAATAATTAGCATCTTTATGTAGGAGACTTAATAAATGTAAAATAAGAAACATGCAAGCATGAATGTAGAAGTTTGAATTATTAATTGAGTTTGATAAATACAGACCAGAAATAACTTGGTCTGTTAAACCTGGAGAAGAGGAGACTGAGGGGAGACCTCATTGCAGTCTACAACTTCCTTGTGAGAGCAAGAGGAGCAGCAGACACTGATCTCTTCTCTGTGGTGACCAGTGATAGAACCTGAGGAATGGCCTCTAGTTGTGTCGGGGAAGCCTTCGGTTGGGTATTAGGAAAAGGTTCTTCACCCAGAGGGGGGTTAGTTCTGTAGGGATAGGTACAGTTTCAGAAGAATTTGTGACAGAAAGCTAGAACTCAATTTCCCTTCAGAAGACTGTAAAATGCCTTCTCAAATGGGTTGGATGTTTTTTTTCCCCTTCCTTCTGCATTTCTGAGTAAGTAGCAGGGAGAAGCTGTGAGCAAGGGATCTCCCTGGTATCCCAAGAGATAATGTTTGCAGACTTGTACAAGGCCTCCTGGGGCCACAGAGGGTGGGGGAGGAGAGAGAGAAAATACAAAAAGCCTTGGAGAAGGCGGGGCATGACCTTTTGCCTCTGGTGGCCAAGTGCATGCAGCATCCCTGATAAGTGGTCTTGCACCTGAAAGAAAGCTTTTTGTAATCCTTCCACTGCTTTGGCATTCTTGGGAAAAATACCTGCATATGTTTTACCTTAGAGGTACTGGAAGGGGCTACTCCAGGAAGTGGCCACAGCACCAAGGCTGCCAGAGTTCAAGAAGGATTGGCATGATACTCTCAGGCACATGCTGTAACTCTTGGGGATGGTCCTGGGCAGGGCTAGGGCTTGGACTCGGGGATCCTTGGGGGTCCCTTCCAACTCAGCACATTCTGTGGGATTCCAGGTGATGTCCTCGCCCCCAAGTCCTGAGCGGGAGGTGCCGCAGCTCCGCTGCAGTGGTGGCTCTGCCCCCTCAGCAGCTCCAGAGGTACCCTACTCCAGGGGAGCCAGCAGCTCTTGGAGCCCACCGGCTCCAGGGCTGCCCTCAGGGCTCATCACCCTCTCGCACATAGCTCAGCCACAGGATCCACTCAGCTCACAGACACATCCCTGCATGTATCACAAAGGCTCTGGCAATGCAGTGGGAACTGCTACACAAACCTGCAGCTGCCCAGGTTTCCGGCTGCAGGGAGTGCCAGAGTGCGGGTGCTGGTTTGGACGGCAGCAGAGGCCGCAGCTGTGGAGGTGTGACCAGGTGGGAGATCTGCTCAACCTGCTGGTGGAGCTGAGAGAGGAGCTAGAAAGGTACAAAAGTGTCAGGGAGGAGGAGATGCACTGGGGGAGCCCTGCTCTGGCCTCCCTGGGACAGTAGCAGTCACCGGAGAAAACAAAAGATCAAGAGTGTCCTGCATTCTTCTCCCACAAGGCTGCAGGAAGTAGATGAAAAGAAAGGGGTAAATGGAGGCCTCCTGCTGGGGGCAGGAGGCAAAAGCCCTCCTTCACAGTCACAGACTGCTTGGTGTTGGAAGGCACCCTAAAGACCATGGAGTTGCAACTACTTGCCATGGGCAGGGACACCTTCCACTCGACCAGCTTGCTCAGGCATCGCACACTTAAGGAGAAGTCAGCCCCCGAGATTTGCAAATGCTCGTGCTCCAAAGGAGTACCCCAAATCTCAAGGTCTGTAAAAACTCCAACTATTTTAAAAGTAAATTCCATACTTGGCATGGGTGGTGGTATGTTAGTGCCTGAGCTGCTGTATAAGCACGCAGCAGTGGGCTTTGGGAAAAGGGGTAGGGTGCAAGGGAAGAGAGGAATTAAAGAGGCGAGGAAGAGACAGAGAGAAAAAGGAGAGAGAACTCCCCAGGCAGCCCCAACCCCAGCCTGGCAGTATGAGAAGGAGAAAAGGCCTTGACACTGGGGAAGCTCTGCTAAATATTTCTTTTTATTTTCAAGTTTGAAGCAGAAAGGTAGAAAAATAGAACCCCATGTTGAGTAGATGAAGGATATTTAACCCTATACTGACTACCTATCTTAGCCTAACTCTAACACAGACTAAACCACCCCTTGGGAAAGCCCTTTGAGTCTAAGGCCATACTACGGCTAACTCTACCCAAGCCTAAAACAGCCCTTGGAAAAGCAAAAAAATGGAAAATCTATCCCTATATTCAATCTAGGCCTATCCTACTCTAACTCTACATAAGATTAAGGCAGTACCTGGGAAAGCTGGGACTGCCTATTCCAGGACCAGGAAGGTGCTTCATTTGCAGCTGGGCTTAAAGCACACCAGGGCACGTGGGGAGTTGGAGTAGACAGAGCCAGGACTGCTGCTCTTCAGTCCAGTCAGCACAAGGGTCTGTTGTGCTGTGCCGACTAGCTGTGCTCCCAAGTCGCCGCGTAGCCCCGGCCCAAAGCAGCCCCCGGGAAAGCTGGGACTGCCTATTCCAGGACCAGGAAGGTGCCTGGGCGGCCCTGCTGCAGTGCCAAGAGCAGCACAGCGCAGAGCCGCACCTGGCCGGGGCCGGTCAGCAGGAGCCTGCAGGAGCGGGAGGAGGGCAGCAGCCGGAGCTGCCAGTCGTGCCACTGAGGCAAACGCTCCCAGGCTGATTCCACCAGTTTGGGCAGCCAGCCGGCAACTTTCTGCACCTCCAGGTGGGAGTCTGTGCAGAGGGTGCGCACGAGGGGCGAGTGCTGATGGTTGTACGTGGGGTGGACAAAGCAGAAGATGTTCCCCGCCGTCCTGGAACACGAGCACTCCAGCAGCACACGGATGGAGTGTGGCACGTCCATGGCGTCGGGCAGCTGCAGCCGGAAAGAGTGCCAGGGGGGGTGGCCTGAGGAAGAGCACCAGCTGGTAGACGGTGCAGTCCCCCAGCTCATGCCAGGACTCGATGGTGCCCTGCTGCCCAGTGGCCGGGTGCAGCTCTGGCATGAAGGTGTTCTGGGAGAGCACTTGGCACGCCTCCAGGAGGTCCCGCACCAGCTTCTTCAGGGTCCGGCCCATGAAGGGCAGGTCCTGCAGCGGTGACAGGCTGAGCGCTGCAAAAGGCCCGCCAGCAGCGGCTGCTGCGCTGAGCTCTTCTCGCTCACGGCGCCGGCGAGAGGCCTCCTCCCTTTGCCAGGCCAGCCAGCCGAGCACAGCTGCTGCAGCCAGCCAGAAGAGCCAATGCTGCAAGACCCAAAGGAGTGGAACATCGTCCAGGGCCCTCCTCCACTCGACTTCCTCCCACAGCTCCGTCATCTGGTCCTCTAGAAAAATCTGCCGTTTCTTCATCCCCTGCACAGCGACCGCATCGCTCTGGGGATCCTGTGTCCGCTTGGGCAGGATGGCCAACACAGCCAGGAGGAGCACAGTTGCTGAATCCATGGCCTGCAGGAGATGGGAGACAAGTTTTCCCAGCGGCTCGGGAGGGGAGGGAGCAGGGGGATGAAGGCTTGAAGGGAAGGCAGACCCTGGCTGCAGACGGCACAGGGCCCATCCTGCCCCAGCCGGGACCCTCCTTGTCAGGCCCTGGCTGGGCTGTGCCCCGGCAAAAGGCAAGAGAGGGCCGAGCAGAGTCTCCCCAGGTCCCATCCCCGCCACACCACAGAGTCCCGCGGAGCCAGGGGCAGCCGACCCATGCCCAAAGGCTCTTGGGGCACTTGCCAACACAGAGAGCCCTGAGCACCTGTGTGCCAGGCCCCAGGGGCACAGCTCGGCCCTGCCGGGAGGGACTCAGCTTTGGCTCAGGGTTACAAACCCCCCCCCCGGGCATCTTCCCCCTCCCCCATCCATCCCAGCCTTCCCCCTGCATCTGCACTTACTGATCGCCCAAGTCCAACTGCCCTGGGGCTGCCTGCTGTGTTCCTTAGGGACAGCTCCCATTGTGACCTGTCCGCTGTGATGTCACAGCCACCAGAGACGCATCAGCCGGCCCACAAACCCCGCCCTTCATCCCCACCCCCCTGCTCAGGGGCTTCTGGGCATCCTCTCCACGCTCAGCACCAACTCCTCCTCGGGAGATCCCGGGGGGGTCTCTTGGCCAAACGGACAAAGCCCCAGAGCCACCAGAGAGAACCCTGAGCCCCCCCGAGCCAGCCCCACCGGCAGAACCGCGCCTGGCCCCACGGGGCTTCCATCTCTTGCTTTGGCTTACAAAGTCCCCTGGCCATTTGCCCATTCCCCCATCCAGCCCAGCCCAGCCCAGCCCAGCCCAGCTGTGGAAGTGAGCAAGGAGCTGCAAGCATCACAGACCAAAGATTTCCCTGAGTGGCGGAATCAGAAGGGGACTATGAGTTGGAAAGGAGCCTTGAGATGGCGCTAACCTTGGCTTAGCTTGAGCCTGGTCTTCTGGAGGCTAAAGTTTGGCGTCTGCCTCGGCAATAGCAAATAAACCTCGCCAATGGGCGGAGACTCGGACTTGCCTGTTCTCTTTATTCCTAAGGCCGAGTGGCCTTGAAGAAGGAAAGGCTTTGCGTAAGACAGAAGACAGTGCCTCAGGGATACTGTGGGCTGTGGAGATGTGAGGTGCAGCTCTAGCTTGAGCTCCCAGGCAGAAGTTTACCTGTCACCTCAAGAGCTCAGTTGCAGACCCTGAAAGTCCTGACGGGACAGAGCAGGCCTACAGCAGGTCTTCCTCTGCTCCACCTGATTTGCTTTGAATTGCTCCGGCCGGGTGGACGCTAGAGCTTCTAGACAAACGTCGTGGCTTTCCCAGGCCTGCCACAGAGGTGGGCTTAGGAGGAGCTTCTGGTTTTGCTGCTTGGTTTTGCTTAGCAAGAACAAGCTCCCACAGAGAGACACGGGCAAGAGACTCTGAATGGATCAGCCTGGCGAGAACAATATTCCCAGCGCCTCCAGACAGACACAGGAGCTTGCGGAGAGAGGCTTTGACTTGAGTTGTTGAGGGTTGAGGGTTGTACAACTCCAAGGTCCTCCAAGATACCAAAGCTTTGGCAACAGAATCCAAGTCCCTTGAATTTCACAGAGCTGGGATGCTTCCCTCTGAGCAGCCGGGGCACAGCATCTAAGGCAGCAAGCGGGTGGGGCAGTGCTGCTGCCACTGTCCGGGTGGACTGGCTCCCTCGGCACTGCGCATGCTTTTGCTGTGCCTTGTGCGGCGCGAGCAGAGTCAGGAAGGCACAGGAGATGAAAGCTCCCTCTGCTCTCCCCAGGCTGTGTGTGAAGGCAGTGCTGCAGCTGGGTGGGAGCAACGGGCACAGCGGAACAGTGGGCGCAGGGGAGCCCATCCTGTGGGTGCCCCGTGCGTGTTTGGAGGACTTGGGCTGCACTCTCTGCCAAGATCGGCTTCTCGAGTTGCTGCCTTTCAGGTGTCTTCCACCACCCCCAAGGCCTTCTCCAAGAGGGAAAGCGCTGGACGTGGGCTTTGGGTTTCGGCCTTGCGCTCCGAGTGACATCCGGCCGCACCAGAGCGGTTTGTCCCTCCCCAGTCCGGCTGGGCGATCCCTGCCTCCCAAGCTATGCGGGCCGGGGAGATCCTTTTAGAATTACCACGCAAAGAGTCGTGTGTGATCATTCCTTTCTTTTATTTCTGCTCTGGGCGCAGTAGAACCCGAGCAGCTGCGCTGTGTCTGCACCTGAGAAGGTTCCCCGTGCAGTTGCTGCTCTGCTGCTGCCTTCGGTCTCAAGGCTCCACGGGCTGTTCTGAGCCTGACGGCTTGTCCTGCTGCCCCAGGAGTGCTGGAGCAGCCGCCTTGAGAGGGCCTTTGACAGCAGCAGGACGCCACGTGCCTCAACACTGAGGCACCTTGTGGGCGATGCCCTGCTGGCTGAACGCTTGAAGGTTGAGCCAGAAGGACCGGGACCTTTCTCTCACCCTCTTCCAGGTTTCTCCCTTTCCTAGGTGCTTTCCCATGGGCCTTCGCACACTGTTACCTTCTGTCTTTCTGGTGCGCACCACCCAAGGTCACGTCCAGCTTAGAAAGTGGGCGAGGGAGCTGGAAGGGGGGCCCCTCTGGGTTCCGCAAGGGAGGTGTGGCGTGGCTCAGCTGTGGGTGAGCCGCTCTATGGGGCATCACTTGTCTGGGCTTTTTCCTCGCCTTTTGTGTGATCCCCTCCCTTGTTAATGAC